CCTGCGCGTTTTTCCTCCGAACGTTCTTCCACAATAAGATCGACAGCGGCGGCGTCGAGGAGCGGTGGAGCGGGAGGCACGTGGTCCACGACGACATGGCCTGCGCCTCAGATTGTGATGAACGCGGTTTCTCCGCATGAGGCCGAACACGCCCGGATCACGGGGGCGGGGCGAGGACGAGGACAAATCCGTTCCAGAGCCTTCCGGAACGCTCTCATTCCCGAACGTTCTGAGAAGGCCGTGGCGCCCGAGATCTTCCAGAGCCGCCGGATCTCAGAGAATCTCGACATTTTCACCAGATGTTATCCTCGTCCTGGTTTTGTCCCGAATGGGTTTCGAAGAATGCGAACTCGACAGCGCAATGATGGCATTGTCGAAGACGCCCACGGCGAATCACCGCCGCCCCCTGCCTTCTGGAAAAGCCTGTGTAGCCGAAAGCTGGACTGCGCGTTCCCCCGGCAGTTGTGGAGACTCTTCGGAGGGCATGTGGAGGAGAGGGAAGGCAGAGGAGGGGGGGGAGGAAAGAGGAGGTCAGGTCGGGTCAGGTGGCTCCTGTTTTGAGTATCTTTATGTTTCGTCGAAAATCCCCCTGAAGGGGGACACGCCCGACTTAACGCCAGCATCGCAGAGCGGACTTCGCTCGGAAAACCAGGGGATGGGGCCCAGCGTGTCCTGGAGAGTTGCGTTCCGGATTTCGAGGCGAATTGTGTGCGGATTTGGTTGGGGGCCAGGAATGAAGACTACAGAAAAAAATCCACGCGAAGTTCTTGTCGTTTTCCGCTCGCCATTTCGGGGTGTTGCACTGAGAAAAATCCACGCATGAATCCGCTGCAGCACGCCTGCAAGGCTAGTGCAATGACATGTGGCCTCCTGGGAGCTTCCTGGGGGCCTCTTGGAAGCCTCTTGAGAGCTTCCTTGGGCCTGTGGGGGGCCCTTGGAGGCTCCTTGGGGGGCCCTGTGGCCGTCTGACGGCGTTCCTGCCCCGTCCGACGCTGTTGGAAGCCGTCTTGCGGGCCTCGCTGGGCCGACTTGGGGCCCTCTTGGGACGTTTCAGGGCCGTCTTGGAGACCGTCTTGGACGTGTTGGAGGTCTCATGAGCCGTTTTGGGGCCCTCTGGGGCCTGTCTTGGGGGCCTCTTGGGCCGTCGGGGGGCCATCCTGGAGTTGATGTCTCTGGGGCCGTCTTGGGCCGTCGGAGTGCCGAAAATGCGCAATCGCCAAAATCCTTCAAACATTACAGAACATATATAATTTGGCCTCTTCGGGCCTTCTTGGAGGTCCTCTTAGAGGGCTCTTGGGCCGTCTTGGAGGCCTCTTTGGTTGTCATGGGCTATCGTGAGGCCATCTTGGGGGCATCTCGGCCCGTCTTGGAGACATCTTGGGACCGTCTTGGAGGCCATATTGAGCCACCTTGGCCGTCCGTCTTGGAGGCAGATTGGCGACCATTTTGGGCCATCTTGGCCGTCTTGGCAGGATTTGTGTTAGACGTTAAGGTATTTTCCGCGGCTCTCTGGTTGGCTGGCGGGTTGGGTCGAAGGAACATTAGAAAACTCAAAAATAATACAAAACCAGCTATCATTTAGCACGCCGTGAACCCCTGTGGCAAGCCACAGGGGACAGATGACGGAAGGCGCGCGTCCCGTCGCGATCCGCTAGTTGGGAGAAATAGCAAAGGGGAGTGTGAGGGTGTTGGCGGGACCCGCCCCAAATAACGGAAAGTGGGCACAGCGTCGCGGTCTCTAAGCTGGGGGGAAATAGCCAGGGTAATGGCGCCAACCTCGCAGAGCGGATTTCGTTTGGAAAACGATAGGATGGGCCCCGGGTGTCCCGGAGAATTTCGCTCCGGATTTCGAGGAGAATTTCGTGCAACTTCTTGTTGGCCCGGAATGAAGACCAACAAAATATCCACGCGAAACTCACGTCGTTCTTCACGCGCCGCTTCTGGAAACATATCCATGCAAAAATCCGCTGCAGCACGTCTGCAAGGCCAGTGCAATGACCAGGGGGGGAGGGGGGGGGAGGGGGTTTCGAATAGACGTAAGAGTGACCTTTCGCCGGAGTGACCTTTGGTGCGGGCCCAATGGGGTCCCCCGATCGCCGAACGCGAGGCGGCAGTGGCGTCTTGCGCGCTTGCGTTTGGCCCCCCCCCGCGGCCCCCAAAAAGCCGCGCACCAAAGGCCACTCTTACCCAGGGTCACTCCTGCGTGCAGTCGGGAACTGGCCTCGGCGGCCCCAGGTGGCGGACAAAGCGCGCGCAGCGTCGCGATCCGTTCGCTGGGAGAACAAGCAGAGGGGGGAGTGTGAGGGGGGGGGGAGCAGGACCGATCGCAACCACTTCGGACCGGGCGTCAACCACTTCGGACCGATCGCAAGCAGTTGCGATCGGTCCGAAGTGGTTGCGATGTTTTGGGGGTCGTTTCAATCAGGTCTTGATTCAGGAAGAGATCATAAGAACGCTTCTGGGTGCAATGAGCCCCCTTAAGCCGCCCAACGGGAATCTGAAAAAGCCGTTGCGATCGGTCCGATCACAGACGGCCGATCATGATCTCAGCTAAACACATGCACTTGTGCTCGAACGAGGCCATGATCCGTATGCGATTTCTGTGTGATTCGTATACGATCGAAACCGAAATTGAGCGAAAACGCCTGGCGTGAAACAAATTGCATCTCAGGAGGGGGAGGAGGAGGAGGAGGAGGAGGAGGAGGAGGAGGAGGAGGAGGAGGAGGAGGAGGAGGAGGAGGAGGAGGAGGAGGAGGAGGAGGAGGAGGAGGGAGGAGGAGGAGGAGGAGGAGGAGGAGGAGGGAGGAGGAGGGAGGAGGAGGAGGAGGAGGAGGAGGAGGAGGAGGAGGAGGAGGAGGAGGAGGAGGAGGAGGAGGGGGAGGAAACAGAAGAGGACAGGATGGCAGGGCGGGTAGACGCGGCGGCCCAGATCCCCAACGCTATGATTTTTCATTACTTTTCCAGAACGTCGACCCCCAGAGATCTGGACGAACTCCACTACGGTAGGTTCGTGCGGCGTCGGCACTCGCACAGCTATTGGCACCGCGTCGATCGTTTTGAATCGATCGCGGCCCCGATCGTTCAAGATTGAATTACGCCAGATACAATGGCCCCACCGTGTCCCTCGGTGCTTCCGCGTCGCACAATGCATCCTTGAACGCCTTCGCCAACGTCGCCGGCGTGCCAACGCCGCATAAACCTACAGTAGACCAGCATTGCATACTGAGTCACTTTTGGACGGCCCCTGAGCCTGGCGATGACCCCCGGAGCCCGAAACAAAAACAGATGTTGTCACGACGCCAGGCGGTCTGGGCCTGTGGTGGTTGTGGGAACGTTGGCTGGGGGTCGTGTGCGCCCTGCGCGGCCTGCGAGACCTCTGGCGCCCGTGCGACACGCAGGACCTGTGGGACCTGTGGGGCCTGCGGGGCAGGCGGGAACGGCGGGATCCTTGGGACTTGTGCCACCTATGGGAACTGTGGACTTGTGCGACCTGTGGGAACTGTGAGCCCGGAAGCCTCTCAGAAGCCTCCCAGAAGCTTTTCAGAAGCCTCTCAGAAGCCTCAGAGCCCCGCCCCTCCAACCTGGGCGCGAAGCCTTTCAGAGAAGCCTGCCAAAAGCCTCAGAGCCCCGGCCCCCCAATCTGGGCGCGAAGCCTCTCAGAGAAGCCTCTCAGAGGCCTCAAAGCAGCCTATCAGAGGCCTCAGAGAAGCCTATCAGAGAAGCCTCTTACAGAAGCTTCAGAGAAGCCTATCAGATATGGTTTTCAGGAGGCCTCAGAGAAGCCTTTCAGAGGCCTCAGAGCAGCCGATCAGTGGCTTCAGAGAAGCCTATCACAGGCCTCCGAGAAGCATATCAGAGAAAGCTCTGAAAAGGCCTCAGAGAAGACTCAGAAAAGGTGTCAGAAAAGCCTCTGAAAGGCTTCAGAGAAGCCTCTGAAGCCTTTCAGAGAAGCCTCTGAACGGCCTCAGAGAAACTTCTGAAAGGCTTCAGAGAAGCCTCTGTAGGGGGACAGGCCCGAGCTAAGCCCAGATCTCACGGCCCACATGTTTTGCCGTTTTCGGCCAACGACGGCCCGAGTCGGCCCCGAGAGCCTGCAGGAGGCCCCCAAGACGGCCTAAGAGGCCCCTCAAGGCCAAGGCGGCCGAACACATACATCTCCAGGACGGCCGCAGGGAGGCCCACTGTGGACCCCAAGACGGCCCAAGAGCGCTCAAAGCGAGCCCAAGACTGCTTCACAACGGCCAGAGGGGCCCTCAAGACGCTCCAAGAGGCTCCCAAAGGGACCCCAAATAACAAACATCGCCCCCTCCCCTCCAGAAAACGTGCATGCTTAGCCCATTCGCGCCCGTGGTCGGAACAGCGTCCAAGACGGCCCACGAGGCCCCCAAGACCGCCCCAAGACGGCCCACGAGGTCTCCAAGAGGGCACCAAGACGGCCCAAGTGTGCTCCAAGACTGCCCGAAAGAGTCCCACGAAACCCAAGAGAGGCCCCCTGGGGGCCCCAAAAAGTTCCCAAGAAAGCCCTCAGAGGGCCACAGGAGGTCCCCAAGAGGGCCCCGAGCGGGCCCCAAGACGGCCCAAGAGGGCCCCAAGACGGCCCGAAAGAGCCCTAAAAAGATCACCAGGAAGGCCGGAAAATGCAGTACTCCGTTGGTTGTTCGAAGTTGTTCGATCCTCGCTTTTTTGGGGGCCAGGAACGGCCCCAGACGGCCCAAGAGGCCCCAAGGATCGTCCCAAGACGGCCCCGGGGGCCCCAAGCCCCAAGACGGCCCAAAAAGGGCTCCAAGACGGGCCAAGAGGGCCCCAAAACGGCCCGAAGACGGCCCCAAGAGAGCCCCAAGAAGTCCCCAAGAGGCTCCCATGAGAGCCTCACGATGGCCAAGGCCTCCAGGACGCCCCAGACGGCCCACAAGGGCCCCCAATTGGCCCAAGAGGGCCCCACGGCTACCCAAAAGGGGCCCAAAAGGACCCTGAGGAGGTCCGTAGCCATTTTGGCTCAAGCCGTTTTGGCTCGAGAAGCAATTTTGCTGGAGGTGCCGCTTCAACAAGTGTCTTGATTGCCAGTCGCATAGCTTATACATCATGGCAACACTCAGTGCGACCCAGAGGGTTGTGGAGGCATATCTCATCAGTGTCGCACCAAGCACGCCGGCATTTGGCTTCTGGACCCTGGTGCCGTGGAGCTCGCAGGAGAAGCCAGTCAACGTGTTCGCATCTCCCATCGCAAGATGGAGAGTCGGAGTTGGAGAGTCGGAGTTGGAACGCATCGCCCAGATAGTGGAGCAGCACGAGGTCATGTTGATCGTATCCGTATACAGGACGAGGAAAGAGAAGAGGAACGTGACAGGCCTTCTGAACTATCTCAGGGCGGCGCATCCCGACGCGGTCGTCTTCCTGGTGCAGCTTCCAGATCGGTTGGATCCCGAGCTGACCAAGGCCGACCTTAGTGACTTAATGATGCGGCATGACAGGCTCTACAGCTTTGGGGCGGATGGCGTGCTGATGGAGCTGGCAGGTGACCCGGGGGGGCTGCAACATAGGATAAGTTTGGAGCTCCAAGAGAACGCCGCCATCCAGCTGCGCGTGCGGGAACATATCAGCACTTTGACCCAGGGAGTACCCTCTGCCATGCAGCTCAACGACATGGAGGACGAGTTCTGCAATTTGCTTTGGAATGACATCCCAGATCTGCTGATGCCCGATTTCGCGCCTCTGGACGAGCGTCTTCTGGAATGTGGGAGTCGGGTTGGGGATTTCCAGCTCGTCCGCCCGTATTCGGATCACCAACACGTGTCGTTGGCAGTGAACGGGCAGCATGAAAACGTAGTGATCAAAGTGTACGACAAGCGCAGCGTCACCCATGCCAAGCAGGTGGAGAGCATATACCAGGAATTCTGTTTATTGATGCACACGCTCGACCACCCACACGTCATCCGTTGCGTAGGCATGTTGCAAAGCCAGTGTAGTGTGCATTTGGTTCTCCAGTATGGTGGAGACGTGTGCATGGAGCAGGTGTTGTCGACCCAACCTGGGTACCGTTTGTCCAGGGACGACGCCTTGGATTGCAGTACCCAGATCGCCAGTGCTCTGTCCTACTGCCACGCCCAGGACGTCGTCCATGGGCAAGTGTCTTTGAGCCACGTGGCTGTAGAGACAGCACGGAATGGGCACATCTGCCGCCTTGTTGATTTCAGCATGGCAGCCCACGTTCCAAACTCCAGCGCAAGGGAGACCCTGTGCGGATCTCTGCCGTGCGTGGCTCCAGAGGTGGCGTTGAACGAGCCGTACTTGCCTAAGCCAGCTGATTGTTGGAGTCTTGGAGTGCTTCTCCTGGAGACCGCTTGCGGGCAGGGTTCCCTCTCAAGTTGTCAGTCCAGTGGCGCAGTGGCGAGTCCCTCGCATACTCCGCGCGGCAAGTACTCCAGTTTTTCTCCCATGCTGGTTGCCACACCGAGGCGATGACGAAGATGGGTAATAACTCACTCGACGGCATAACACTGGCGTGCTTGGAGGCGTTGTTGAAGCCCGAGCCAGCCCGCAGGGCAAGTGCCTCCGACATGATGGGGATGCTATCAACTGGGCGCACCGAGCAGACCAGTTTTGATTGATTCGTTGTTGTTTACCTTTGCACTTTGGGCGCGCGTGCAGGAGTGCATGTAGCTCACAGTTTGTGCGCAGGTTTCCTGCGTCAAGCTTCTACCTCAGACGCCGCTGTCGGTCCAGCGGCGCCGTGGCGAGTCCCTCGCATACGCCGCGCGGCAAGTACTCCAGCTTTTCTTCCGTACTGGTTGCCACATCGAGTCAATGACGAAGATGGGTAATATCTCACTCGTCGGCGTAACACTGGCGTGCTTATAGTGTTGATTGATTCGTTGTTGTTTACCTTTGCACTTTGGGCGCGCGTGCAGGAGTGCATGTAGCTCACATTATGTGCGCAGGCTTCCTGCGTCAAGTTTTCAACCTCAGACGCCGGTGTCGGTCCATCGGCGCCGTGGCGAGTCCCTCGCATACTCCGCGCGGCAATAAATCCAGCTTTTCTCTTATGCTGGTTGCCACATCGAGGCGATGATGATGACGCGCAATAACTCTCTCGACGGCGTAACACTGGCGTGCTTGGAGGCGTTGTTGAAGCCCGAGCCGGCCCGCAGAGCAATTGCCTCCGACATGATAGGGATGTGATCTTTTGGGCGCAGCGAGCAGGCCAGTGTTGATTGATTCGTTGTTGTTTACCTTTGCACTTTGGGCGCGCGTGCAGGAGTGCATGTAGCTCACATTATGTGCGCAGGCTTCCTGCGTCAAGCTTCAACCTCAGACGCCGCTGTCGGTCCATCGGCGCCGTGGCGAGTCCCTCGCACACTCCGCGCGGCAAGTACTCCAGCTTTTCTCTTATGCTGGTTGCCACATCGAGGCGATGATGATGACGCGCAATAACTCTCTCGACGGCGTAACACTGGCGTGCTTCGAGGCGTTGTTGAAGCCCGAGCCGGCCCGCAGAGCAATTACCTCTGACATGATAGGGATGTGATCTACTGGGCGCAGCGAGCAGGCCAGTGTTGATTGATTCGTTGTTGGTTACCTTCGCACTTTGAGCGCGCGCGCGGCTCACATTTTGTTCGCAGGCTTCCTGCGTCAAGCTTCTGCCGATTACCTTCCAAAGTGGCAGGCTGTTTGCGATTTGTTCAACAAGTTTCAATTTCCAAGCGGGGTCAGTACTCACGAGGCCTGATACTAACAGCTAAATTCTAGATGAATTTGAGTATGAACGTGAGTACGAGTACGAGTACGAGTTTGAGTATGAGTGAGGGGGCCGTGATGCTAAATAGCGTTTGCGGGCGGCTGTGGGTGTTTTGCCCTCTCGTCTTGTAGTTCCTCTTCTGACGCTGCTCAGTTGTGTTTGCGTTTTCCCGATGAAGGCAAGGAGGCCGACGGACAGTTGTAGAGCCCCCTTCCCAGCAGTTGGATGCAGCTTGGAAGCTGGGAAGCTTGCCCCAGGGATTGGGCAGTCATCGCTGACGCTATCTCGTCTAGTGAGTCAGATATCCGAGTGTTGGTAATTTTGATTGTTGAGCCGTCGGGAGAAAAAACTCTATGCCAGCATTGTTGCCGCTGTCTTTGCACATGGGCTGGGCGCCCCAAAATCTTGATATTCGCGCATGTTTATATACATATACATACATATATGCATATGCACAGGTATGCAGAGGTACACTTACATATGTCTACATGTTCCAAATGACCGCTACGCAGCATTGCTCTCCGCTCTTTCGTACGCCGCCACAGCTTCCATGCAGAATTTGACGCGCATCCGTGGAGCGGTGCCGTCTTCGAGAAGTTGCTGTTGGCAAACACTTGAGGCCGCTGGACATCGTGTCGCGGGTCCACTTATCGGCGCGCCTCCAGGACAGCATCAGGTTGCTAACGCTTAGTTCAGCGTAGTACGCCTGGTGAGTATCACCCGTCGCGCTACGGTTTTAATATACCGGAGGCATTTTCAACAGCCTGACGCGTTACAGCTTCATGGCTCTGGCCAGGTCATCGGGCGGCGGGTCGAGCATAGTTGGCAGCATGTGTTAATGTATGTGTATGTGCATGTGTGTTTGTGTGCATGTGTGCTTGTGTGCTTGTGTTCATGTGTGTATGGTCCGAGTATGAATATGAGTATGAACGTGAGTATGAGTACGAGTACGAGTTTGAGTATGAGTGAGGGGGCCGTGATGCTAAATAGCGTTTGCGGGCGGCTGTGGGTGTTTTTGCCCTCTCGTCTTGTAGTTCCTCTTCTGACGCTGCTCAGTTGTGTTTGCGTTTTCCCGATGAAGGCAAGGAGGCCGACGGACAGTTGCAGAGCCCCCTTCCCAGCAGTTGGATGCAGCTGGGAAGCTGGGAAGCTTGCCCCAGGGATTGGGCAGTCATCGCTGACGCTATCTCGTCTAGTGAGTCAGATATCCGAGTGTTGGTAATTTTGATTGTTGAGCCGTCGGGAGAAAAAACTCTATGCCGGCATTGTTGCCGCTGTCTTTGCACATGATATTCGCGCATGTTTATATACATATACATACATATATGCATATGCACAGGTATGCAGAGGTACACTTTCTACTTGTTCCAAATGATCGCTACGCAGCATTGCTCTCCGCTCTTTCGTACGCCGCCACAGCTTCCATGCAGAATTTGACGCGCATCCGTGGAGCGGTGCCGTCTTCGAGAAGTTGCTGTTGGCAAACACTTGAGGCCGCTGGACATCGTGTCGCGGGTCCACTTATCGGCGCGCCTCCAGGACAGCATCAGGTTGCTAACGCTTAGTTCAGCGTAGTACGCCTGGTGAGTATCACCCGTCGCGCTACGGTCTTAATAAAAGTTATCCCAGTGCGACCCTACCTAGGAGTTGGAGCCCCTAGGAAAGCAGCATTAGTAACTGTAAATCTAAGCGAAAGCTAAGCTAAAGCTAAGCTAACGCCAAAGCCAAGCTAAAGCTAAGCTAAAGCTAAGCTGAAGCTAAGCTAAAGCTAAGCTGAAGCTAAAGTAAAGCTAAGCTAAAGCTAAGCTAAAGCTAAGCTGAAGCTAAGCTGACGCTAAGCTAAAGCTAAGCTAAAGCTAAGCTACAGCTAAGTTGAAGCTAAGTTAAAGCTAAGCTAAAGCTACGCTGAAGCTAAGCTAATGTTAAGCCCAAGCTAAGCTAAAGCTAAGCTAGAATAAGCCAAGCTAAGCTAAGACGAGATAAGCTAAGCCAAGCTAAGGGGGCGCTATGCTAAGCTATGCTATGCAATACTGTGCTATGGTATGCTATGCTGTGCTATGCTATGCCATGCTATGCTATGCGACGCTAAGCTAAGCTACATTAGGCTAAACTTAGCTAGGCTAAGCTAAGCTAAACTAAGCTAAGGTAAGCCAAGCTAAGCTAAGCTAAGCCAAGCTAAGCTAAGCCAAGCTAAGCTAAGACGAGATAAGCTAAGCCAAGCTAAGGGGGCGCGACTGGGGGAACCGCGGGGCGGGGACCGGGGGAACCGCCCGGGGCGTGTAGCACTGCCCGGCCCCTTTAAGCTAAGAGAGTAAGAACCCTCTAGGCAGAGCCTAGGTAGGGAAAAAGGACCCCGAGGAGGCCAAAAACATTGATTGACATAATGTTTTTTGGTATGTGGTTTGGATTCACGCCTTTTCGGGCTTTCGACAGCCCAGGACGGCGCAAGAGGCCCCAAAGATCTTCCCAAGGTCTTCCCAAGATGACCTAACAGGCCCCAAGAGGGCCCCAAGGCGCCCGAAGGGGGCCCCCAGACGGCTCTAGAGGAGCCCAAGACGGTTCAAGAGGGCCCCCAGAGGCTCCCAAGAGAGCCCCAAGTGGGCTCCGTGAGGTTCCCAAAAGGGCCCCAAGAGGCCCCAAGGAAAGCTCCAAGACGGCCGAAGGCCTCTAAGACGACCCAACAGGGCCCCAGGACGGCGAGCCATATTCATTGATGTTCGTAAGGTTGTGTGTTCGATTTCTGTATGACGTACCAAAGTCTTAACGCCAAGAGGGCTCCAAGACTCTAAGCGAGCGATCGCGCGCCCTCACGAAGCACTCGCGTTTTCTCCGTCCCCGTGCCGAGCAGTTCTAGTGGCCTTAGGCCCATCCCGCCACCGTGACTGGGCTGTGTGTGGTTCAGAGGCCTCCTGGATGCATATAAGGAGCTCTTGGGATGCCTCTCGGGAGACTCTTGGAGGGCTCTCGGAGGCTTCTGGGGGGACCTCTTGGGGCGTCTTGGGGGGCGATTGGGGGCCTCATGGGGCGTCTTGGGGGGCTCTTCGGGGGGTCATCTTAGGGCGGTAGGCTCGAAATGTCTGTTTGTGCTCCCTCTTGGGCTCCTCGGGACCCTCTTGGGTGCCTTTTGAGCTGGCTTGGGGGCGTCATGGGGCCCTCCTGGGGGCCTCTTGGGCAGCCCTGGGGTATTATTGAAAAAGCCTTACGGCCGGTGCCGCCGACCCTGAAGGTTTTGGCCGTCGATGGCGACGGGATGTGTGATCACAGGAAGGAGCTACACGACAACATAACAGGGTAGGCGGCGGAAGTGTGAGGAGGAGGAGGAGGAGGAAGAGGAGAAGGAGGAGGAGGAGGAGGCGGAGGGGGGGGGCGGAGGCGGGGTGGAGGAGGAGAGTAGATGTATTAGGAGGAGTAGAGAGGGGAGTAGGCCGGAGGGGGGTGGAGGATGCAAGGAGGAGTGAGGAGGGAGGAGGAGGCTTGTGAGGAGGAGTCGGAGGAGTGAGGAGGAGGACGAGGATGGGGAGGAGTGAGGAGGAGGAGGAGGAGGAGGAAGGTAGGAAGGAGGAGGAGGAGGAGGAGTAGTGGATGATGAGGGGGAGGAGGGGGAGTGCGTAGGCTGATTTGCGGATGAGGTGGATGGGTAGGTATTGCGGCGTGATTAGGAGGGGAGGATTCAAGGCGTGCTTACTTATTTTTATCACCAAACGAAAAAAAAGGATATGGGAGATTGTTGGAAATGTAGACGCTCAGGAGAAGGAGGAGGAGGAAGGAGGAGGCTGAGGAAGTGCCAGGAGGATATGATCAGGAGGAGGAGTGGCACTTTCTTATTGTTTTCTCTATTCTTAGTTCTTTTCTTTTTTACTTACTTCCTACGCCTATTACCCCCCCCCCTTTTCCTCCTCCCCGCCTGCACCTGTCCCCCCGGATCCCCACCCCGCGTTACCCCCCCCCATGACCCCCCCAGGAGTAGGGTGAGACACACAAAAGAGATTTGGAAGCCTGCAAAGACGCTCAAGGAGGAGGAGGTGGAGGGAGGTGGTATTCCTGACCAGGACCCCCCCCCGGGGACCCCCCCCAGGACCCCCCCTGGGCTTCCCCCGGGACCCCCCCGCCCCGGCCGGGGAAGGGAACAAAGGGAAGGGGAAACCCTTCGAGTCAATTTACTTTACGCAGGAGGAAGAGATGAAGGAGGAGGAGGAGGAGGAGGAGGAGGAGGAGGAGGGGGAGACGAACGAGAAGGAGACGGAGAAGGTGGGAAAGGGAGGGAGGCACGGACGAGAAGAACAACCCATTCCACACGCCGACAGGGTCGGCGGATTCAGGGTTTCTTGGGCCGTCTTGGAGCGTTGGAAGCAGAGGCGGGAAGACTAAAAATCCTCTAAACACACTGGCAGGAGATCAATAGTCTTGGCCTCTCCTGGCCCTCTCGGGGGTCCTCTTGGAGCGCTCTTGGGGCCATCTTGGGCGTCTTGGAGCGCGGGCCGTCTTGAGGCCTCTTGGCCCGTCGTGGTCGCTTGGCAGTCGCCTCCCCCCGAAGCCCGCCGGTGCCGTCTGCGAGACGTCCCGCGCCACGCGCGCCGAGGCCTACGTCGCGGCGATCTGCGAGAGGCTGCTGGCTGCGACGCTCGGCGGGGCGGACGAGGCGCCGCTCGAGAAGCAGGCTCGCCCATCTCGTCCTCTTCCTCGTCCTCCTCCTCCTCCTCCTCCTCCTCCTTCTCCTCCTCCTCCTCCTCCTCCTCCTCCTCCTCTTTCTCCTCATCCTTTTCCTCCTCCTCCTCCTCCTCCTCCTCCTCCTCCTTCCCCTCCTCCTCCTCCTCGTCGTCCTCCTCCTCGTCCGCTTGTCCTCCTTCCCCTCCTCACCGTCTCGCCCTCCCTTCCCTCTCCCTCCTCATCCTCTTCGTCCGCCGCCTCCTCCTCCCCTCCCCTCTCCCTTCTGCATCGGCCGCATCTTCCTCGTCCTCTTGCCCCATCTTGGTGCTTCCTCCGTCTGGCATCACCCCGCCCTCCTGCACCTAGCGGTTCTTACCGGGATGGCTAAGGAACTGGATGCGTGTGCCGGTGCTTGAGGCTGGTGCCTTGTTGGTGCCCGCCCGTGGGCGCCTCGTGGGAGACTCGTACGCTGGCCCGACCGTGGGCGCCTTGTGGGCGCCTCCTACGCTGGGTGGGCGTGCCGAAGTTGCGCCCCGTGGGCTCCTCGGGCGAGCAGGGCGCCCGCGGCCACGACGTGGCGACCCTCGCCTCGGGCCCGCGCGTCTGGCCCCCAGAGGCCGAGGAGGCAGGCCGCGAGCGGCAGTGGGGAGCCCATCCTCCTCCTCCTCCTCCTCCTCCTCCTCCTCCTCCTGCTCCTCCTCCTCCGCCTCTCTCCTCCTCCTCCTCCCTCCTCCTCCTCCTCTCCTCCTCCTCCTCCTCCTCGCCTCTTCCTCCTCTCCTCC